CTTCTCAAACACTATGGGCTCATAGTAAATGTCAAACGCAAATGTCTCATCGACAACACAACTGGATGAAAATTGATCACAAGTTCATAAAGCTGCTAAAAGAATTCAAAAAGATGATGATTCCAGTATCCTACAACAAAACTAAGGGGAATCAAACCGCTGTCCAGCATCACGTTATCAAAACAGAACATCCAGTTTATTCACCCCCAAGACGACTTAATCCGCAGAAGCTCAAAACAGAGAATTTCCAAACGTGAATTTGAATACATGCTGGAACAAGAGATATTTGTACCATCGCACAGTGAGTTTACCATTCCATTAAACTTGGTGGAAAACTATCGACGTCTTAATGCACCGATCAACATTCATCTAGTACCAATACCGATCCAATACCGATCAGGTAAGGTAAAGACAAAAGTAAGGTAATGAAACGATACAAATCGAAATTAGTAATGCGTGAATCTATAGAGATAAACATAAATAAGAAAAACTTTGGCGATTCGGAAAGTGAGGAGAAATTTCACCTAGCACAGGAAGAAGCAGCAGAAAGCGAAATGAATACGGATATAAAAGACAATAAAGATAATGCGGTTGACACTCAGAATTTAAGTGAAGTCGTTCACTTACTCGCAAGAAAAATATGTGTAAAACGGCTCAATTATATTTAGAAACAGTCACTGTGAGTAATTACAATGATTTGAAGAGTGCTTTGTTTAGCGAATTTTATCGAGAGCTCAACGGAGCCGAACTGTACAAAATGCTCGCTGGAAGAAAGAAAAAAGAATGCGAAACATTTCACGAGTATGTACTTCATATGACAAGAATTGCAGCAATGGGAAACAGATGAAATATCCGTTATTCGGTACATAGTCGATGGACTAAAAATCAAAAGTGACATTAAATATTCGTTACACAGCGCAAAAACAATACAATTACGTGACATATACGAAGTATACAATAGAGTGAACAAACAAGAAAGAGAAGATCATGTAGAGAAGTTGAATATGAAAATGAAAAGAGAACATTATTTTAACTGCGGGTCTAATGAGCACAGAAAAGCAGAATGTAAACAGGATACGAAATGCTTTAAGTGTAACAAAAGCACCCCACATATTGCGAAAAAATTGTACAATAAAGCAATAAAGAATTAAATTAAAAAAAGAATTTTTTGGGTTTATCGATATAGGATCAGATGTGTGCATCGTTCAAGAACACGTGTTAAAAAGTTTTCAGAAAATAGCAGTCGAAAAAATGACGATCACGTTCTATGGGCTTGGAAATACACGAATAAAAACCAAGTGCAGTTTCAAGGCGATTGTTAAAATTGATAACCTAGAAGTCGAGCAAAATTTCGTCGTGGTTGCAGATGGTGTAATGAAACACGATATTTTGATTGGTAACAATTTTATCGGTAAGTTCGAATACATTTATGTTGAGAATAGTAATAAGCTTGTACGAGTAATTGATGATGAACAATTTTTGCATATGTATCAAGTAACTGAACAAGAGAAAGATTTTGGTATAATACCCCAACAAAGTAAGAGACGTATTGAAGATATGATAATTTCATTTAATGGAAGGCAAAAAGAACTAGAATAACCAATACAGCTGGAAATAATAACAGACAAACCAGTTCCGTTTCGTCAATCTCCGAGTAGATTACCAAATGTGTCATCAAGCAGCAGTAGAAGAACAAGTACAAGAATAGCTAAAGAAAAAAATTGTTCGTAGGTCAACGTCAGAATAAGCAAGCCGTGTGGTGCTGGGTAAGAAGAAGGATGGTTCGTGTCGCGTCTGCATCGACTATCGTAAGTTAAACTCGATGGCATTTCCAGTTCAGTTAGAAATGCCATCGAGTATAACAAAAACAGTCACGAACCTGGAGAATGGGTTTTCCCATGTGCCGGTTAAAGTATACAGCATTTGTCACTAAGAGTGGCGTTTCCGAATTTAATCGTGCACCGTTTGGTTTTTGTAACTCGCCAGCAGCATTCGTAAGATTTATAACGTATATTTTCCAGGAGCTGATGAACGAAAATATGATGGAACTATACATCGATGACATAGTAATCTATAGCAATACGCCGGAAGAGGGTATTACAAAGTTAAAACAGGTTTTAGAAGTAGCAGCTAAATATGGACTCAAAATTAAGTGGCAAAAATGTTCGTTTATGAAACAGTCCATTAACTTTTTAAGTCATACAGTAGAGAATGGTACTGTAAAACCAGGCTATGAAAAAACGAGAGCAATACAAAAGTTTCCCGTACCTAAAGATTTAAAGGCAGTGCAGTCGTTTCTGGGATTGACTGGCTATTTTCGCAAGTTCATTAGGGGATATGCTGAAATTGCGAGACCTTTGACAGAACTACTCAAAAAAAAAATATGGAATTTACGATGGGACCAAGACAAGTAGAAGCTGTACAGAACTTTAAAACACTTTTGGTAAAAAAACCGGTACTGCAGCTATAGAGCCGCGACGCAAAAACTGAGCTACACACAAATGCATCACAATACGGGTTTGGTGCAGTGCTTATACAACAAGTGAAGGATCAATTACATCCCATTCATTTTTGGAGCAAAAAGATGTCGACAGCGGAAGAAAAGCAGCATAGTTATAGATGCGTAAATTTCGTCATTATTTCCTCGGCGTAAAATTTATATTAGTGACTGACTGCGCGGCGTTCAAACAAACAGTGGCGAAAAAAGATGTTCCTCGTGAAGTTACGCTGTGGATTTTTTACATGCATAATTACGTTTTCGAGGTGGTGCATAGAAGCGGTAGTGCAATGAAGCATGCAGATTCTTTAAGCAGATATCATTATGAAGTTTTGATAATTAATTGCGAGATAACAGCATGTTTTAAAAAAGCGCAAAAGTAAGACGAAAAAATAGCAGCAATAACGGAGGTACTAAAGACAGCAGCGTACAAAGATTATAAAATGAAAGGCGAATTAGTTTAGAAATGTGTAAATGGCAATGATTTGTTAGTGATGTCAAAAGTAATGGAAGCGCATGAAGTTGGTCATTTCGCAATGCAGAAAACTATACACGCAATTCAGCAGACGTACTTTATTCCACACCTGAAGTATAACGTTGCCGCGTTGAACAATAATTGCATAAAAAGCATCATGCACAATAAGAAGCTGAGCAAAAAAGAAGGTGAATTACATTACATTGAAAAGGGCGATAGACCGCTAAATACTCTACATGTGGATCACATTGGGCCAATGGATGTAACGTCTAAAAAGTACAAATATATTTTTTCTGTGATGGACGGTTTCACAAAGTTCCTGTGGTTGTACCTAACGAAAACGACATCGGCAGATGAAGTTGTAAATAAGTTGACAACATGGGCAGATATATTTGATTACCTCAAACGTATTATAAGTGACAGAGGTATAGCGTTGGCATCGCAAGCGTTTACTAACTTTTGCGATGAAACCAAAACCGCGTTATTTTGTCAGTGTTGTCAAAGGTATCGACAGACGATCCGTCGAAGTGGTACAGGTATGTTAACAAACTACAACGGGATATCAACGCGAGCGTTCACAGTTCAACGAAGCGATCCCTATTCGAACTTATGTTCGGTGTCAAAATGAAACTGCAGATGGATAGTGACGTACTACAATTAATCAAAGAGGATTACGTGCAATTGTTCGAAGCAGACCTCCAACATATTCGAGGGGAAGTGAGGAAGCAAAAACAAAAAGCTCAAGAAGCCTATAAAGCAAACTTTGACAAGCATTGTACGAGATCACTGAATATCAAATAAATGATCTGGTCGCTATAAAAAGAACAAAATATGTAACGGGCAAGAAATTGGCAAGTGAATATTTGGGACCATACAAAGTCGTTCGAGTTAAAAGAAATGGTAGATATAATGTCGAGAAAGCGGCAAGATTTGAGGGGCCAAACCAAACAATGACCAGTATTGATAACATGAAGCCGTGGCATTACAGTAGTATAAGTGGAGATGAATTGTCATCTGATGATCAGGACGGCCGAGTGTAAAAGAGTGGAATGGAATGACATGGCAGTAGTTGATGGCAGTAGTAAAAGTGAAGTAGAAGGAGGAAAATGATCGGTTGCCGCTGAAAGCGTACGAGGTCCTGTAAATTTTACTGTAGTTACACCTTTGTTAACGTATATTATCTATTAAATATTAACTGGTATAAACTTACATAAACTTTATATATATAGTGTAACGACTTTGAAAATATTATATATTTCAATATCTTGAAATTATTTATGAATTAATAATTATTTTTGGATTATACATTTTTTCCCATATTCCATAATTCTATATTGTATGTTTATTGTAATTAATCTGTGAATTTGGAATTACTCCGTCGTAAACTCTTATTTTGCTTTTTGTTTGGATTTTGTAATTAATAATCTATTATCAATCGATTGAAGAGATTGAAATTTACTTCCATCTCTTCAAAATATTTAATAAATTATGAATTCATATATTGTATCGGATGCATCTTAATATTATATTGTACTTATTTAAATCTGAAGATAACCGTCAAAGCAAACCATTTAAAATGACTAGTTTTTTAGAATTTAAAAACATTCAAAATATCATATTATTATTAATAATATGTTTTGTTAAATCATATTCACATTTGATTAAATTTAATAATAAGATCAGTGAAAATAAACCAACAGAATGAATTTAATAATTCTAATTCAATAAACTAAGTATATTATTGGATTCCAGAAAATACTAAAAACATGTATCAGAAAACCATTTATTTACAAATTTTTGGAAAAAATAAAAAATACTAAATTAATATTAGTTTAATTATAACCAAATTATATGCCACAAAATGAGTTTCTCATAATATAATAAAAGTTGTTTCAATAAAAAATACGAAAAAATTATTTTAAATGTAAAATTAATATTTGAATTTTATCTGATTAGTTCTTTTTCAATCTTTAACTTTCATTTACATATCTAATTATTTTATATAATAATATATAGTTCAATATTTAGAATGTATTGTTTACCTCATAACTTGCAGTTGTTGTAAAATTGTGCTGAATGATGTCTGATGTTTTTAAATAGATGGAAAAGACATGTTGAGTTAAGCATTTTAATTGATATCAGATCATTTTAAAGAAGCTTCACACAGGCAATGGTGTTTTTTCCTTTCGAACTTATTTGATTCCTGACAAATGTAACTCAATCCTATAAAGGTCTCATCACTATCATAGGTGAATTACTGCTTCTCACTACTGTGCTTAACACTAAAGCTTTAATTGATGAACATAAATTTGACTGAAGTTATTCCTACCAAGTTATTCCTTGATATCTATATTGTTCATCAAAATGATGTCTGGCATTTATAAATAGTGAGCTATTTCTGGAAACTGTTAAAATCTGAAAAGAAAATATTTTATTTTTAAATCCAGAAGTTATTTCAGTAATTTTTAGTTCTAAGCGCTAACTACATTGTCATTTGTTATGAAGTAGTTATTACAGTTACTGGTAGTTGTTACTTTCATTTGTTAGTAATATATTTGTATTAAGGCAGAAATACACCACAGTTACATTAATAAAATTTGAATAAAATTATGAAATTTGGAGGTAATTTCTTCACAATGAATAATTAAAATTGCAATCTCAACATAGATGTTGTGAGTCATACGATATTCCTTAATACTAATTACTTTTGACACGTGTATCAGAGTCTACAAAGTCTAACTGATGACATATTAACAATTGAAAAACGACCATAAGATGATTTACCCAACGTACATCTCACATTTTACTTTTTGTATATTAATAAAAGCACAATTGCTTCTCTCTCTTATGTATGGACAAATTTCTAACCGCAAAGAAACTTGATGCAATGACTGTTGTATGAAAGGCGGATGAAAATAACGCTTATCCTATCTGATACTACTCTCAACTCAGCACATATTATCTGATGATTTCATTTCAAATCAAATACAGGCAGTAAAAATATAGTCCATCGGAGAGACAACTACTGGCATCTATGGGCATTTGCAATCTTTTAAACTTGAAAAAAATTATGTCAAACATACTATAAAAATTTATATATAACTTCTAAAATGACGATTTTACTTCAAGAATTAAATTTGGTCCTGTCGCGTTGATGACGCGATCAATTTTTCCCCCAACATTTTGCCCAATCGGGTTATGAATAACAACACAGTGATAATATTTGACTGCAACTGAATTTCTAAAGACTTCGATTTCGAATAGTCTGCTTAAATATTGCATTATATTACAATACACATTCCAATTATGCCAATTACGTGAGTAACATAATCGCATTAATCCGCGCCTGCCTTTCTTTAATAATTGTAAACTGTTTCTATAAATTTGGAGAAACGGTTTAATGGCATGATCAACTCATCGCCTTTAAATTGTTGCTACTTGTTTACTCCAAATTTATAGAAACTGTAAAGTAGCATGTTGGAAATATTTTAAGTATTATTTTGGTACAATAAAATAAGTAAAAAGACTTACTTTTCAACAATCGAGTTGAGAGGATGTAATAAAGATAAATTACGTTACTTGTGTGTATTAATACTACATGAAGTAATGAAGTTTTAACTGATGAACACAAATTTGATTAAAGTTGTTGCCATGATACTTGATAGGTGTTATTAGATGCTATTAATTTCTTACTTCACTCCATTCCAAATTCAAGTTAAATTCGTTTCATTGCAATAATTTCTAATATATCATTTTATATTAGAAGAACTTTAATTGTTAGTTTTCAAGTTCAAGTTGAAAGTTTATCTCTGATTCGTTATAACTGATCACTTTATCATTTTTATTTGCAGAAACGTTTAGTTGGCTTAAATCGGATTTGTGTTGTATGTATTTAAGTACAATTTATAAATATTTGGTTGAAGCGGCTTTTACAACATGATTAATAAATCTGCTCATTCCATACTATATCACATTCTTAAACAAAAAAAATATAAAGATTGGCATTTAATTATTACAGTAATATATCTTACCATGAATGAAAACCTGTTGATGATAAGCCCTTCTCAAATTATTCTTCATCTGCATTCTATTAACAATAACTTTCATTGACATGTGCATCAGTTTCACCTCAATTAAAATGATACTTTACAAAAGTGAACCAATCATGGCATACAAAACACCGCTCAGATGAAACGCATGGTGTGCTTTGGTTATAGTTAGAGTAAAATAAGGCAAGTGATTGGTTGGTTAAGTTCAATTTTTATTTGCTAACACAATCCCAGAAGGAACCTCATTAAACAGATGTGAATTATAACATCTAATGAACATTATTGCTAAAAATACCAGTCACATCTGAACATAGAATAGTGGGACTTTATTTTTCAAATTCATTTAAGTGTGGTCGTCTCCCTTAGGATTTGTTGGTACTTGCATATACCACACGTGTTTTTATTGATGTTGAATGTTATATTTCTTATGTGCTTAACCTTACTTTATGTTCCCGAATCTGATCAATAGCACCTTCAAGTGCTGATAAGTTACTAACTGCCACAACGTCAAGTTTCGCTTTTCAAATATGAAACTTATTTTTATTTACTAAGCTTAGTTAGCTTATTTACTTATCAATAACACAATAAATCTCATGTCACGTTATACCAGTCAATCCAAAATGATTATCCAAATACAATACATGATATGAATCATTCTCATATCATATATGCCCTTCTAAAGCATAATAGCATTCCAAAGAGTAGTTTATCTTTACGTTCCAACTACAGGTTACTTCTGTCACAGAAAACTGAAATCTAAATAAATAATGAAATATCAAAATTATTTAAATATATAGTAAAATTAATAAATAATTTTAAAATTTACCAGTATTAACAATCGAGAATAAAAACAATGCATTCAAATCTCTGCAAAATTAAAATGGATCCTCACACAGCCATGCGTTTTTTATAAAACAAAATTTTTTTAAAATGCAAATTCAATGCATTTATTATTAACTCTGCGTAGTTTTGCACGACAAAACATGTTTTGCATTTCAGTTACAAATTTTACCGTTTGAAATGGCGGGTTACCGCTTCATTGTCGTAACGGAATTTCGGAAAAACCGCACGAGTCTGACAATGTGAAATTAACATTACACATAGTATTAAACTTTCTTGGTTGACATCAATTTTATTTTTTTGCAGTTCACATATGTAAAACATCAAATCAAATTAAAATCATACTGAGTACAAATTGCGCAAAATATTCTTATTTGATTTGTGTGCTGACATTTCCCATTTGCACATTCACAATACAACACAAAATAACCAAAGAATAACTCACTAGAATGGCAATTTTACACAGCGGCAAAAAATTTCAACTACTTGTATTGCGAAATAATCGGTATAGAACGTTCACAGTAATTTATATAAACATATAATCAGTTATATTAAGGAGTTAAGAAGCCATAAATCAGATTATAGTGATCTAAATTATGCAGTTAAAAGAGCTTATACACACATAGCAGAAAAACTCTGCGTTCACCAAAAAACTTTTTCTTAAAGTTCGCATAACTTTTTTAGTTTTTATTTAAATTGATTTGTGTTTTCTGATTTATTTTAACCAAAAAACAACAATAAAATTCAAGCATAAAAAATTAACAGTTACTATTTAAAAAAAAAATTAAACACAATTGCAAAATGCAAAAACAACAATTTTCGAAGCAGAAAATTCTAAATATATAGATTTACCGTTAATATAAATTCATTTGCAAACACAATTATGTATTTAAATGATATTTAATTAAGTTACTTCCCAAAGAGTCCATAAAGATCCATAAATTTACTTAAATATATCGCTAAGTGCGTTCATGTAACAATGTACATAAACGCAAACATTTATATATATGATATATATGCGTGATATAGAAAATGCTACATGTCTGAATACCAAATATGCATTCCATCTTTACGCTTTGCTATACACTTTGAAGGTTTGCTTACTTTATTTTGATTATTTTCTACAACATTCATAGCAACAGAGGAGAAAGTACACTGTGTAAAACAATAATCGAAACTGAAGAAATTGAGTTGATGGTAAAAGCAACATGTTATTTTAATTATTATATAAATATTTCATATATTTTAGGATGTAACATGGTTTTTTATAGATTGTTTATATTAATTCATTTTACTATACCACAGTTTAATTCATTTATGTTAGCTGGCGGAGTAATTTCGGTTTGCAAAACCATAATGAAAAGTAAAGCAATTGAACTTATGATAATAGCAACATATCTTGAGGAGCCGGAGAAAAAAGAATATATAGTATTTGAAAAAAACATGACCGTAAAAGCGAAAAAAATGTTCACTCTTTGTTACTGTTTAATAATTTTTTTCCGCAATCTTCACTCGTCCGCCGCTTACCAAAATTCTTATATAACGAGAAGTCTGCAGACTTCGGTATACACCGACCGAAATTTGGTATACATACTTGAATATGCACAGTGCAAATTGGCAGTACGAATACTTGGTTTCCGCATATGTAACATCGTCTATATCATGCTTTAGATGCGTAACTTCATTATTAATTAATGAGATGTGTTTCTTCAACATTATTTCTAAAATAATTTTGAAATAAAATCACTAAATATAGTTTTAATGCGAAATTAATAACAAGGATTGAAGCTACTACCTCATTTTTAAATTTAGTTCTTAAAAGTGTGTTAACGAGTGAGGATGAGAGCACATTCGCTCAAAACGTATGTGGTGAATAATGCGATTTATTTATTATTATTATTTAATAAAATTATATTACTAAATGCAAAATTTAGCTTATTTTGGCAATGTTGTGCGGAAATTAGAAAAAAAACTACTAAATATTTGTATCCCTTAATACCATATTTTTCTCATTTATAAATTATTTTTTGATTCTTTTTATTTCATAATCGTAAAATACACTACTGCTTTACGTTTCAGATTCTTTTTTAAAGCATTTACGCGGTAAATTTTTAATAATTGTATAGAACCAAATTTTATATTTAAATCACTTGAGATTAATAAAACCACATTCCTTCTTATGATCATCATTTTCAATATTTTCAAATTAATCCGTTCTTAAAATAATATAATTAGTGCACTTTTCACTAAAGCGGATATAACACATCATTCTGGAATGTTGACTTTGTGTGACGTCGTTTACTATTACATTTCATTCATTTTAACATACCTACATCAATACAAAGCTTTCACTAAGATGTTAACAGCCGCGGACACGCACATACTTTTAATTAAAATATTTTTTATATGTGTGTATCCTACTATTTAAAATAACTTACTGAGTAAAAGAATATTACTTTCTTCCACGTATATATTTTTTTTAATGTATGTTTGTACTTAAAAAGTTCGTATATCATAAATAAAAAGCAGCATTTTCAAATATTTCAAAAATTAAAATCTGTTTTGTTTTTTAAGAATGTTAACTTTTATTTCGTGCGTTATTTTTTAGTATAATTCTATACGTATTTCGGCAAATTCGCTTTTGCCTTCATCAGGAGGATTCCTAATATTAGGAAATAACGCACGAAATAAAAGTTAACATTCCTAAAAAACAAAACAGATTTTAATAAAAATTTCGACGTAACAACTCAAAAAATTAATAACAAAATTATTTCAAAAATGTTTACGTATTTTTTTAACTTGAGATATAAAAATATTTTGAATTCCATTCGTCTGCCTGTCATTTCTGCAAATGTTGCTATTGCTCATGAGACTTCTCTACAATTTTGCATTTCGACGCACCCGACGTAGTACCCGCTTAATAGTACCTTTTACGGATTGTCGATCGCTGATAGACAGTACAAAAATTTCTACTGCTGGTAGAAAAAATCAAATTTTGGTATTATGAATTCCAAACCGATAGAAGTTTTTCTATCAGAGGTAGATAAATTTTTCTACTGCATTTGAGCAGTAGAAGTTTGTCGATCATATAAAATAAATGCTGTTAAAATGCTTTATACAGTCAATTAAACATATAAATTTAATATAATTTTAATATTACTATTTTAATAGTTATTAATAATTTCTTTAGATTTAATATAATAAAGTATATCATTTTATATATCTGGTTTCAAGTGTAATGTGTTATATGTATATTGAGTTTAACGACTGTCGCATTATTTTGTTTTGTTATTTATTTATATGTATTTATTCAAATATTTTCAACATACAATCATTTTTCAAATTTCTTAGATATATTTTTCAACGAATAATGTATTTATATAAAATTAAGAAATAATAAAATTAATAAATTTTGTTGTAGGGCAAAACTAATAAAAATTTAAATAAATAAATAAAAAGCAGATAGTAAAACTTGTTGTAAATATGGAGAAATATCCAGATATTGCGAAAGGCATTGCAACAAGCCACATTCCAGACCACCGTGGGAGAAAATTGCGATAGAGCTTAATAACTTAATAGTTTAGGCGCCTTGAAAATATTGAAAACATTTTAGTGAAGGGAGGCTAGAGTATTGTGACCAAAAACTTACTGTAATACAAGAAAAATTAAAATTGGCTATCGAAAATACCGACAAAAGATATAAAGATAAATAATTTAATTTAATATACATATAATGTAAATATAACTACAAATTACAAAAATATTAAAATTAATATAAAAATATGTTTATTTTTAGACTATTACAGCTTAATTTTAATATATTACTTTAGTTTGTTAATGTAATGTAATATTAAATAATTATTTCGTGTTAATAAAATATATTTTTATTTATTTTAAAAAGAATTTGAATTTAATTTTAATGTTTCTTAGCAAATACAATACAAACAAACTAACAAAATAAGTTCGAGTAAAGCTGCACGCTCTAAAACCCTGATATCATTCACAATAGTGCACATGTTTGTCTATTAAGTTTCGTAATACGAAATTTACTTACCAATCGGCTCAGTAGATAAATGTCTATCATCTATCGGTAGAAGTTTCATAATAGCCACTAATATCTTCAAAATCTAAGTGATAAATTGTTGTAGTTCGATAAAAAAAGTTTTAGTTCACAATGGAGATGTCGTTCTTGTAAGGTATTCTTTGGTATATGCATTGAGAATGGTTAACGTGAAGTGTCAAATAATCTGAACATTCTATCACCACCAGTTGCGGTATTAAGTTTAACTTCTAAGGATTTAAATTTCTAGAAGGAATTGTTGATGGATAAAGTACTATTAATAATTACAGTTCGCGTTTGGTGTGCACTTGATTGATATATTGTGTAAATTGTATTCCAAACATTCTGCATGAAAATGTAACAAAACGGTTTTTGTAGGTGAACATAGATACTCCGTAATGTTTTGTTAATGAATTCATTAAAGCCGCAAATATAAATTATTGTAAAACGTTTGTCACCTCTATTAGAAACAAAATTGTTTCCGATTTAAATATACTTTTGGAAATATTTAATTATTTGTCGCTGCTCACAGTAAGATGTATTAATTATATGTATATATGATTTTAACAAATGTTTGGAATAAATATACTTTTGGAAATATTTAATTATTTGTCGCTGCTCACAGTAAGATGTATTAATTACATGTATATATAATTTTAACAGTTTTATTTTAGATAAATAACGAGCTACTACAGGTCTATACTTTGGATATTGTACTCATACAATTACTCCTTTGACATTGCAGCCTTAATTTTTAATTGTGAAGATTCCTTTTAATACATTTGTGTATATCTGCCTTTATACAAAAAGTAAGGCATTGAAATCCAAAAGGGTACAAATGACAAAGTGGTCAGTCTATGGATCATGTAAATAAACCTCTCAATTTAAAAATAAAATGTTTTTTTTCCAGATTTTAACAGTATTTAATGAAACAACTCAAATTTATAAATACCAGATATTTTGATCAACAGTACAGATATCAAGTATGGTCGGAATAACTTCAATCAATTTTATGTTTATCAATTAAAGCTTTATTACTAAGCAAATGTAAAGAGAACCAGTAATTCAAGTTAAAATGATGTGATAGGACCATACCAGGATTCAATTATGCAGTTATTTCGAAAGGAATAAACATCATTTAATATATAAACCACTTTTGAAATGTTCTGATACAAATTTAAATGCTTTAATTCAACATGTATTTTTCATCTATTTTAAAACATAATTCCATTGTACTACATAATT